TCGTGATGATGGCGATGGTGATGGTCATTGTGGTGGTGACGATTCTATGGAGAGGGTGATTAATATTGTTGTTAGCAATGAAGATGATAACGATAAGAACAATGATGTCAGAGATTGTGGAGATAATGACGTAACGCCGCTGCTACTGATGAATGTTTCTTGGTGGTGATGGAAGGTGTGATTAAATTAAGGATGTCCTCTTATGTCATGCCACCAGTCATAGATGTATTTATCCAGTATCGGTGAGTGCGAGTGTGTGTGAGTTGGTGGATGAGTGGGTGGATGGATGGTGTAATTGTCACTGTTACACGGTGGTGTACCACCGTGTAACAGTGGTGTACCACCGTGTAACAGTGACAATTACACCACCGTGTAACAGTGACAATTACACCACCGTGTCACAGTGACAATAACACCACCGTGTTACAGTGACAATAACACCACCGTGTAACAGTGACAATTACACCACCGTGTAACAGTGACAATTACACCACCGTGTAAGTGACAATTACACCACCGTGTCACAGTGACAATTACACCACCGTGTCACAGTGACAATTACACCACCGTGTCACAGTGACAATTACACCACCGATAGACAGTGACAATTACACCACCGTGTCACAGTGGCAATTACACCACCGTGTAACAGTGACAATTACACCACCGTGTTACAATGACAATAACACCACCGTGTAACAGTGACAATTACACCACCGTGTTACAGTGATAATTACACCACCGTGTAACAGTGACAATTACACCACCGTGTAACAGTGACAATTACACCACCGTGTAACAGTGACAATTACACCACCGTGTCACAGTGACAATTACACCACCGTGTCACAGTGGCAATTACACCACCGTGTAACAGTGACAATTACACCACCGTGTAACAGTGACAATTACACCACCGTGTCACAGTGACAATTACACCACCGTGTCACAGTGACAATTACACCACCGTGTAACAGTGACAATTACACCACCGTGTCACAGTGACAATTACACCACCGTGTCACAGTGACAATTACACCACCGTGTCACAGTGACAATTACACCACCGTGTAACAGTGACAATTACACCACCGTGTCACAGTGACAATTACACCACCGTGTCACAGTGACAATTACACCACCGTGTAACAGTGACAATTACACCACCGTGTAACAGTGACAATTACACCACCGTGTTACAGTGACAATTACACCACCCTGTAACAGTGACAATTACACCACCCTGTAACAGTGACAATTACACCACCGTGTCACAGTGACAATTACACCACCGTGTAACAGTGACAATTACACCACTGTTTAACAGGTAGGGGAGGGAGGGAGGGGAGGGCTCAAGGCTTTTGTGATATAACGTGGAACGCGCTCATTATAATACAGATCGCGCACCGTTATAATGCAGAAAGCGCATCGTTCTAACACGGTTTCTCAGCGGTCGTCGACCGACAACTTTCCTGAGCTGCGTGGCTGAGCAGTACGAGATAGTCCACGGCGTGACACAGTAACACGGCGGCGTACATTGTATATCGCCAAACGTTATCGTGGCACTACTAATGTGGAAATCATTTTCGGTTTACCGCGATTTTTCGCCGAGCGCGGCACTTTTCAGGAACGCAGCTACCGCGTTAAACGAGGACTGTGCCCTGCTGCTGGCAAATCCCTGCTCCTATCCGAGGCCGCCCGTCCTATCACGGCAGTGTGGTCCTCGATCCGGGCCCACCAACCCACCGGGCCGACTCCACCTGGTTCTGCTTATCCCGCACGTCGCCACGCACCATTGCAGACCACCAACCTGATGGCCGTCACCAAGGGCATTGGGCCCTCTCGACTGCCGGACCTGTTTGGGGTTGGGCCCCTGGCGGTGCACGCGGGGTGCACCCCCAGTGAGGGGCAAGGGCGGCCCGCAGGCCCCCACACGCCTCGAGGTGAGCAGCTCCTTGGAGGGGTGGCCCCGATATCCCCCCCCCACCACCACAGGTCATTGTGTGCATCGGTTCGGATTCCAGCGAAGTGGAGAGGGAAGAATCCGTCAAGTGCGGTGAGTGCTGCATGGTGCCACCCAGCGTGGGGCTCATATTCAACGGTGAGAATTGATAACAAACATGTGTGAGGATGAAGAGACTACCGCCACCATCGTTGCCATCTGCAAGGTGTTGGGGTGGTGCTGAGTTATTGTAAATAATCACGTCGTGCGGTTCGAGAGGTGCAGCGGTGCGTGGAGGGAAAGATTTTAACTACCTCGCCTGCTATACAGAAGGTCGTAGGTTCGATCCTGACCCTGGCGGCTGCTGCTGTATATTTTGAATGTTCTCGCAGTGGTCGCGCGGATTTTTCTACAGGTCCTCTGGTTTTTCCCCTCCACATTCAGAATCAACGAGACTTTATTTATGCAGCTCAGTGGGCCTTACCTGGTAAAATGATAAATGTTTATAGTTTAGTTTAGAAGGCGGCGGCGTCCGTCTTGTTGTCTGGCCGTGCCGGGCGGCACACCTCCCACTCGCCGTGGCTGCCGCCGCCGTCGCGGCGCCCGAGAGACGGGAGGGAGATGAATCGGAGGCGTGGATATTAAAAGATAAAATGGAACGAGAGCTGACAAAGTGGGCAGAGGAGATTGCAATTACATCGAGAGACGGGGGTAGAAACGCGCGGATTGGATAGCGGACGCAGGCTGAGATATCCCCTTGACGGTCGAGAGAGGTCGGTGGGTTTGGAGGGAACGCCTCGCTAGAAGGTGTTGCTGGCCGGTGGCCGAGACTGAAGATGGCACGTCAGCCCACGGAGGGAACACGCCTGAGAGGAGGTCCGCCATGGAGATGGTGACGATGGAATGAGCTCGTCTGCAGGGGCTCGATGCACCATTGATTTGCAATACCACAGAGATGGCTTGGGGAAGCCTTCATCCAGCAGTGGATTTTTCGTAGCTGGTGATTATGTTGATGAGACAGAGAGATCTGTGGACTGACACAGAAACCCACAGAATTACATGGAGTCCCATAGACTCAGATCGACACCCATTGACAAACAGAGCCTCGCATAGAGACCCACGTGTTCACATAGACACCCACAGACTCGCCGTGTCCCCCACTCCACGTGTCGTCTCACAGCCAAGTCGTACCTGCAGACGGACCCGTCGGGTAGGGGGAAGGGCACCCCTGTGGTGGTGAAGCAGGGACACGAGCCCCCCACCTTCACCGGCTGGTTCCTTGTCTGGGACCCCCCACCCACCAAGTGGGACTCGGACCCCAGCGAGAGGACCGAGGCCTCCCTCGACTAGGATTTGGGAAGCTCACTGGCGGCTCTCGTCTTATCGGGTTGCCCATCTCGGAGGTGCTTCTCAATGTGGACGCATCACGCGAGATGTTAACTCCCTCGCCTGGTATGCAGGAGGTCGTGGGTTCGATCCTGATTTTGACGCCTGCTGCTGCTGCTGTATATTTGGAGTTTTCGTGTCTCTCTCTCCCCGTGGTCGCGTGGATTTTTTTAGGCTCCTCCGGTTTTTTCCTCCACATTTATAATCAACATCATGCGTTCAGAGTATTCGGTTGCTATGCATTTCCACGTGATAAGCCACTTTGTTGAGCTATCATTTGTGGCGAGGAACTCAGTGGGCCTGACCTGGTAAAATAAAAATTTTTAATAGTTTTTAGTTTAGTCTATCTCGTAAACCAAATGAACGGATGACTACAAAATGAATAGATTGTGTGGAGTGGTGCGGTGACGCAATCTACGTGAACAATGGGGCAATATGCTATAGGTGTTCTCTCCGAACAATGGAATTATTGGCTGTATGGATCTATGTGGCTATGTGAACAATGGAATCTTGGGCTATTGTGGCCACGTGAACAATGGGACAATGGGTTAGAGGGGCTATGTAAACAATGAAATCGTGAGTTACATGGATTTATTTGAACAATGGGCTCAAGGGGTTATGTAACCAATGGCATTGCAAATGGAGTCCAACGTTCATTGCTTTGCACATGGCGTATGCATCGTTGCTCACGCTAAAGTACAGTTCGCATACTTATCAAAGACGCATCACGTCGACAATAACACGAAGCATTAAACATTCCACATTGCAGGTGCGTGCATCAGACGTAAATTGAAAGATGTGGCCTGTCGGCTTTAACGCTGCAGTTAAACCCTCGACACTTCCACGTTTACTGTGATACCATAAAAATATACGGAGAGTTATTTAGTTCATCACGCCGTAAATGTTGCCGCAAACCGCAACGTATTTATTTAACCGGTTTAAACCGATAACCGCATCGCTGACTTTATGTGAACGAAAATAAACAAATTCGCCCGTTTTCTCATTGAAAATAGGTAAATGTCAAAATGCCACTGTCATGTTCACAACAGCAACGTTTGTGGGGAATAATAACCATTTTCTGTACTTTTTAGGCATAAGCAATTACGAAATAACACTTTGTACCCAGGAACAAAAATTGTGCTACATAGTATTATGCAACTGTTTATCTCTGCGTGTCGCTCTGCGGCTGCGAACCTCTGTATCTTCGTGTGTCTGTGTGTGTATCTGTATCTCTCTGTGTGTCCGTATATCTGCGTATACTCTGTACCTCTGTGTCCCTGTCTTTCTCTGTCTGTCTCTGTGTGGGTCGTGCCTGCTGCTGAAGGACTTAGAGTCTCGTGGTGCACGCGGGATTAGGGATTAAAGAGAGAGAGAGAGACGGAGATTTAATTCAGCCTCTCTCCGCGTGACGAGGCTTAGCGAGAGAGCGTCGGGAGAGGTAACGGGGAGATTGGGTGAAGTGGAGATGGGAGAGAGAGAGGGAGGGAGATGGAGCGAATGGAAAACGGAGGTGAGAGAGAGACATTGGAGTGAGACTGGGAAGGAGGGAGTTAGGAGAACTGGACACCTAGAAAGAGAGAGACGGGACCAAGGGGGAGGGATTGAAGGAGGGAGGAGTGGGGGATCAGGGAGGTAGAGAGGACGGACATAGAGAGGAAGATAGAGGAGGGAGAGAGGGTGGTGGAGAGGAGAGAGGGACACGGAGAGAGGAGGAAGGGAGAGCGACAGAGGGAAGCAGGGCTGATGGGAGCCAGAAGGGAACGAGGGAAACGGGGAAGAGAGGAGACGGAGGGACCGAGTTCGAGAGACAGCGGACGACACGGATGCAGGGGGGAGAGGGAAGATGTAGGAGAGCGAGGGTGGGCTCAGAGAGGAGGAGAAAACGTCGTGGAGGGTTGGAGGCGGGGGCGGGGGGTGTAGGCAGGCGGTGTCGGGGCAGGAGGTGGCGTGAGTCTTAGCTACAGAGATCCCGCTCATCCCCAGACCATACTCCTCGCCCTGTGGTCACCCATCGAGTCTGTCACCAAACATCACTCGCGCAGCACAAGTCGCCTCTGCCGGTACTAACCACCACCACCACCACCGACCATCAACCCATCATCACCACTCAGCCAACATCACTACCGGATTCTAACCACCATCACACACCATCATCACTACCAGCTCCTAACAACCATCACACACCATCACTACCAGCTCCTAACCACCATCACACACCATCACTACCAGCTCCTAACCACCATCACACACCATCACTAACAGCTCCTAACCACCATCACACACCATCACTAACAGCTCCTAACCACCATCACACACCATCACTACCAGCTCCTAACCACCATTACACACCATCACTAACAGCTCCTAACCACCATCACACACCATCATCACTACCAGCTCCTAACCACCATCACACACCATCATCACTACCAGCTCCTAACCACCATCACACACCATCACTACCAGCTCCTAACCACCATCACACACCATCACTACCAGCTCCTAACCACCATCACACACCATCACTAACAGCTCCTAACCACCATCACACACCATCATCACTACCAGCTCCTAACCACCATTACACACCATCATCACTACCAGCTCCTAACCACCATCACACACCATCATCACTACCAGCTCCTAACCACCATCACACACCATCATCACTACCAGCTCCTAACCACCATCAGACACCATCACACGCCACCATCATCGGCCCGCGAGCCGCTATCGAGAGTGGAAGTCGCGCGACCTCTCCCCCGCTCGTGGCTGCGTGCCACCAGGTTCACTATGGGCACCACGGACGTCAAGACCGTGGTGCTTATCACCGGTTGCTCGTCTGGAATCGGACTGGAGCTGGCGGCCAGGATGGCGCAAGATCCCAATCAACGATACACGGGTAAGGATGATAATGACGATGATGACGATATCATCATCAGTAGCAGCAGCACTATCATCATCAGCAGCAGCATCAGCAAAAGCGTCAGCAGCAGTACCATCAGCATCATCAGCTGCAGTATCATCAACTACATCAGCATCAACAGCATCATCATCAACATCATCACCACTCACCATGATCACTCGGCATCATAGGAATGTCAACACATCAATAACACTGGCCTAAAGTGGAAATGTGTTTGTGTGTATATATTAGATGACGTTTCAGGCAATGGTCCTAGTTCATAGAAGAGGGATAGTGAGGCCAGGGAGCGTGAGCGATTCGTAGACTACACTGCGATAGGAATTAATGCAGCGGCATCAGAATGCAATCATCACCGCTGATTACAATCATCATTTCATGTATCGTGAAGGTTGTGATGTGCATTGTTGTGGTTGTTGTCTCTGTTGTCTTGTTGTTGTGGCTGTTTGTTGTTGTGGTTATTGGGTGATTGCTGCTGCTGTTGTGGCTGTTTTGTTGTTAGTGTATTTGTTGCGCTGATGTTGTGGTTGTGGTTCTGTAGTCGTGGCTGTTGTGTTGTTGTGGTGTCTGCTGTGACTGTTGTGGCCGCTGTTGTGGTAGCTGTGCCAGGACTTGGACCTGGGAGCTGCGGGTACTTCTTCTACACGCGAGCGATTTACCGCCGATAAGGGGCCACCAATTCAGTCGGTACGCACGAATCTGTCAAAACTTGACCCCCCCCTCCCTGTACGCACGCGAATTTTTATACCCCCCCCCCCCCCCCCCGAATCCTATAGAGCGGCGGATATTTAATCCACGCAGAAACGATCAAGTTTAAGCAAAGAGAAAGTCCACCGCCGGACTATCTAACTCATTTGAAGGCCAATGTAGACAAATTATTATCGAGGCTTCACTCCCACCCCCCCCCCCCCCCCGTTTCCTATGCGTCCGTACATTGTCAGTAGACCCCCCATACGCAAGCGAACGCATTTGGCTTAACCCCCCTCCCCCCTCCATGCGTACCGACTGAATGGATGGCCCCCTGAGTGAATTTGCCGTTACCCGCGTGCAGTGCGATGACACGCGGTGCTGGCTGTTGGATGAGACCCCCACCACCACCCTGACCCTCGCTGGCGTGAGTTGGTGCCCGCCTGCGGTCGTGTTAATTACCCATTACCCTCATTGAGCCAGACGTTGTCGTTGTTCGTCGATAGTGACGTCACGGTCACGAAGGGATTTTGGGCTGCTCAGTTGACGATGGAGGTGCTCATCTTCTTGCTGAGGCAGTCAGAGAAACTCCACATTCCCATAGCGGGGGGGGGGGGGGTTCATCCGTGGGACAACCACTGCTGACTTCCCAATAAATTGGTGAAAATATTATCGACCCCGGAGTGATGATTGGCTGAGTCACCCCCCCCCCCCCCCAACCAGGATGTGAACTCGCAACCTTCCAATTGCAAGCCGCTCGCTCGGTCGATGAGCCACCTGGCCGGTTTATGGTGCTGATGATGATGGTGCTGATGAATAATGGTGTTGATGAATAATGTTGCTGATGAATAATGGTGCTGATGAATAATGGTGCTGATGATGGTGCTGCTGATAATAATGCCGATGACATTGCTGATGATGATGATGATGACGGTACTGATGATGATGATGCTGAGTATGGTGCTGATGATTATAGTGCTGATAATAGTCCTGCTGCTGCTGATTGAGCTGCTGATGATAATGGTGCCGATGACGGTGCTGTTGATAGCGGTGATGGTGCTGCTTATTATGATAGTGATGCTGATGGTGCTACTGATGGTGCTGATGCTGATGGTGCTGATGATGATGCTGATGGTGCTGCCGAGACAGTGATCGCCACGATGCGAAACCTGGAGAAGCGTGGCCAGCTCGTGGAGGCTGCGGGAGCGGCGCTCGGCTCCTCGCTGCTCGTGCAGCAGCTGGACGTGTGTAGCGACGACTCCGTGCGGGACTGCCTCGCTGCCGTGCCGGGAGGTCGGGTGGACGTGCTGGGTGCGAGCCCCTCACCCCCCACCCCTCATGCCTACAGCCTGGCTTTAACACGACTATGCAGCCAGACGAATAGCAACTTAATACCATCAGTCTGTCACTCTGCCATGAAAACCACCGCCCCATCTGTACCGACCCACCAACAGCCTGCACCAAACATCTTCAAGTGCCACTTATCCCCGATACAAAGACAACGATCCCCCGTATAGCCTTAACAGATTGCTGGGGGCAAGTGCTGTGAGCCAGCAGCAACCTATGAAGGCCGGCAGGTCCCGCGCGGGAAGTTGGTGGCGAGCACCACGCCCGGCCGCCTTTGTCTTCCTCGTGGCGATGTTTGCACATCGCACCAAGCTACCCATTTGAGGCTTGGCCGACCTAGGGGAGGCCCAGGACCGGTTCAGACAGCTGCCACTGGTGTTGGCCACGATTCGGGAGAATCGACATCGGGAGAATCGTCATCGAGTCGCCGAGTTCACAGCGCGTTGCGCCACGGCTCACCCGTGCCGGCCCTGGGCACGACTCGAACGCGGATGTCGCGACGCGACTCGCTAACCACCGCGCTACCGCTGCCCGCATCCTACCGCTACCCTGAGGCATGACACGGGAACACGACCACCGATACCACGGATACCACCGCCAGCATCACCGACGACACCGGCAGTGACACCGTCACGCGGACCACACCACCAGCCCGGGCGGCACTCAAACTCTCCCACTTAGGCGATCAATTTACACTTCACACTGGCGGCCACAACAATATTAACACCCCCCCCCCGGCCCCCTCCTCCCTAACACAACCACGCTACCCCTATCACTAACATCATCAATTAACCCCGAAACCCCCTGCCACCCCCTCGGTAACGTTACCGCCACTTTACCCCTCTCAATGTACAATCAACACCGTCACCTTACCCAGCGCCTACCATCCACCTCGCCATGTATTCATCCCATCATCAATACGACCACTTTGCTTTCAACACTCTGCCCCCCCCCCCCCGTCTCTGTAACTGTGCAATGTCGCCAGGCTGCCCCTCACACCACCACCCGTCTGCTCACACCACCACCTTGCCCATACTAATCACGTCCAGCTTCGTATTGCGTCGTTGTCCGTGCACATTTCACGAGGAACCTACAAACGAGCTGGAAGGTAGCCACTAGGCAGTGAGCCAGCGCTGCCAACAAGTGCCCAAGCTCTGTAGTCCTATATATATTCAGATGTTTTAAGCAATATCATTAATGTGTATGCTTTACTTGCCGTGCCTGCCTGTCCATCTGCCTAGAGGCCTGCCTGTCTGCATGCCACCCCATATTCCTGTCTGCATGCCACTCTATCTGCCTGACTGCCTTTCTGCGTGTCCGTCTTGTCTACCTGCCTACTTACCTGCTTATCTCACGTCTCTCCACGTGACTGCTTTCTCCGCACATCCCTTTTGCCGTCCATTGGTTCATCAGTTCATCCATCCATGTGTTCATCCGTCATCCATGTGTTTCATCCGTCATCCATGTGTTTCATCCGTCCGTTCATCTGTTTGTCCATCCCTCCGTCTATTGTTGCCCATCTGCCATTTTTGTTCCCCGTCAATCCTCTGTCCGTGCGCGCTCGCGCAGTGAACAACGCGGGCGTGGGTCTCATCGGTCCCGTGGAGGGCCACACCATGGAGGAGATCAAAGCCGTGTTCGACACCAACTTCTTCGGCGTCGTGCGGATGATCAAGGCCGTACTGCCCGACATGAAGCGCCGGCGCAGCGGCCACATCGTGGTCATCAGCAGCGTCATGGGCCTGCAGGGTGCGCACCGCAACCACCGGACCTCGCGCGGCGACACGCGCCCTACCACAGGGCCACGGAGCGAGTGTGGCGGTGGTGGGATGGGGCGGCTATGAGACGCCCGGAAAGGTTCTGGACAAACAGATAACGGCGTCCGCTAGTCCACGTTTGTCGCTCCCTTGGGCAAGGGCTGGGTTGGCTCTTTGCAAGCAGCAGCACCACCACTACCAGCAGCAGCAGCACCACTACCAGCAGCAGCAGCAGCACCAGCAGCATCACCACCACCACTACCAGCAGCAGCACCACCACCACCACTACCAGCAGCAGCACCACCACCACTACCAGCAGCAGCACCACCACCACAACTACCAGCAGCAGCACCACCACCACTACCAGCAGCAGCACCACCACCACTACCAGCAGCAGCACCACCACCACTACCAGCAGCAGCACCACCACCACAACTACCAGCAGCACCACCACCACAACTACCAGCAGCAGCACCACCACCACTACCAGCAGCAGCACCACCACCACTACCAGCAGCAGCACCACCACCACTACCAGCAGCAGCACCACCACTACCAGCAGCAGCACCACCACTACCAGCAGCAGCAGCACCACTACCAGCAGCATCACCACCACTACCAGCAGCAGCACCACCACCACTACCAGCAGCAGCACCACCACCACAACTACCAGCAGCAGCACCACCACCACTACCAGCAGCAGCACCACCACCACAACTACCAGCAGCAGCACCACCACCACTACCAGCAGCAGCACCACCACCACTACCAGCAGCAGCACCACCACTACCAGCAGCAGCACCACCACCACCAGCAGCAGCACCACCATCACCACTACCAGCAGCAGCACCACCACTACCAGCAGCAGCACTACCACCACTACCAGCAGCAGCACTACCACCACTACCAGCAGCAGCACAACCACCACTACCAGCAGCAGCACCACCACCACTACCAGCAGCACCACCACCACTACCAGCAGCACCACCACCACTACCAGCAGCACCACCACCATCACCACTACCAGCAGCAGCACCACCACTACCAGCAGCAGCACCACCACCACTACCAGCAGCAGTCGACTCTTTCTGGGGTAAATTGCCAGGGTCATCACCAACCGCAACACGCTGCGCACGTGGCTCACGGCTGTTTTGGCAAATTGGGACAACGGCGAACTGTTGTGTGCATGCATGAACGTTGAACTTCTTTCACGCCGTACGTGGCCAACCGTGCTAATCGGAGATGCGGGGAGAATACAAATTGAGGCCTCTTTTTCCAGCAGTGGCGTGAGCGTGAGCTAAGCAATCGTTTCAGGAATTCTTCAACGGGGTCGGTGATAAGTGGAGCAGAGGTGCCGGCATTTATCCAAGGGCCCCCCTTATCTCACCAGGGCGACCGAGTAACTGATTGACCTGTGTGTGCGTGTTCGAGTGTGTTCACAAAAGCGGCCGGGCGTGGATGCTGGCCACCCACCCCCTCGTGTGCCGTGCCGTCCTCCAAAGGTTGCTCGCTAACAGCACTTGCCCCAACAGTCTGTTAAGGCTACACCGGGGAACTTTGTCTTTTTGTGTTTAAAGTGTACCTAGCATGACACAAGCGTCGTGATGGCGTCACCACCGCACAACTGTTGTTGTGTTCGTGAGTTCATGTGTGTGTGTATGTTCGTGTGTGTTCATGTGTGTGTATGTTCGTGTGTGTATGTTCGTGTGTGTGTGTATGTTCGTGTGTGTGTGTGTTCATGTGTGTGTATGTTCGTGTGTATGTTCGTGTGTGTGTGTGTTCATGCGTGTGTGTTTAACAGCAGAGGTTTCACTCAGAATCAGTCGAGCGGCAATATATTTTCATTGGTTGCGTAATGCTGTGTGGAAGCAACCTGGTCTGTCGCTCCGCACTAAGCTTCAGGTCTTCTCGGCCACGGTTATTCCCTCCCTTCTCTACGCTTGCGAAACGTGGACACCCCTAATGGAACATCTTCGCCGGTTAGAAACATTTAGGCTGGCCTGCCTACGATCCATCCTGGGTTTAACCAGGCTGGATTGTGTGAGGAGCTCACAAATCCTTGAAAGATCTGGGCACGGTCTCATCGGTGAGCTCCTCCGGCAGGCAAGGCTGCGATGGCTGGGTTATGTAGCCCGCATGCCCAGCCACCGCATGCCGAAACAGCTTCTGTTCGGCCGGATCGAGGGGGCTAAACGGGCGCGGCACGGGCTAGAGAAGAGATGGAGTGACGTGGTACAGGAGGACGTGGAGCTGAATGGACTTGCCGATGACTGGTACCAGCGGTGTCAAGATCGGCCTCTGTGGAGGAGGCTCGTGAAGGACGCTACTGGGCAGTTGGAGGCAGTCGCCCTCCAACAACGGAGGGCGGAGGAGCGACGCTCACAACAACGAGCGGAGCGCCGGGTGGCTAGAGCAACGCAAGTTGGCACAGTAGGGGGCACAGGTGGTGCATCAGCCAGTCATCTCAGTCATCTCAGTCAGTCGCCCCGTGGCACCTGGGTCTGCCCCGTGACCTCCTGCCAGCGGGCGTTCGGCACTCCACGTGACCTCAATGTGCACATGGCCTGGCACAAGCGTCGTGGTGACGTCACCGCCACTTAGTGGCGAATGGCGGTTGTTGTTGTGTGTTCATGTGTGTGTGTTCATGTGTGTGTGTTCATGTGTGTGTCCCGCTCAGCCGTGGTGTTCAACGATGTCTACGCGGCCTCCAAGTTCGCCGTGGAGGGTTTCTGCGAGGCGCTCGCCATGCAGTTGGCCAAATTCGACATCCAGTGAGTGGAGCGAGCTCGCCCAGGGCTCGAGGAGTGCTTCCTGCACAACGTAGGAGGCCTCGATATGGCGGATAAAACCTTCATGTATAGATAGGAACGCAGAACTTGGGGGAAGGGGAATTCGGCACCCTATTCTTACAATAACGCTCCTCACACCATTAACATCACCACAACAGAAAAAGATCCCCTGTATAGCCTTGACAGTCTGTAGGGGCAAGTGCTGTTAGCGAGTAGCACCTATGAAGGCGGGCACGGCACACGAGGGGGTGGGTGGTCAGCACACCGCCCGGCCGCTTTTGTCTCCCGGGTGGCGATGTTTAAACACCGCACTAGGTTCTCATTTGAGGCTAAGTCAACCTAGCGGAGGCCCAGGACCGGTTCAGATAATCGTAACTGGTGTTGGTGGTAGTGAGCGGGAATCGAACCCGGGTCGCTGGGTTCATAGTGCAGCGCGCTAACCGTTACACCACCGCTCCCCACACAGACACACAAACTCTCACCAGACACACACTCACACACACCGCTCGGCACACCACCACCACCACCACCCACATCACCACCACCACCACCACTACCGCCGCCGCTGACGAGTCCCACGGTGGCGGTGTCGTCGTCAGCGTGACGCTGGTGGAGCCGGGCCCCGTGCACACCAAGTTCGAGACGAAGCTCTTGGCCGACGCGTCCCGCGAGGAGTTCGCGGGCGTGGACGCCGAGACGCTGCATCTCTTCCGCGACGTCTACCTCCCGGCGTCGCGCGACATCTTCCGGACGCTCGGCCAGACGCCCGGCGACGTCGTGAAGGTCGTCACCTGGCCGCCGCTTTTCGCGCTGCAGAGTTTGAGCCGGGGGCCGGCACAATGAATAAGTAACAAAGTTCACGTTTCACTATTCATCGTTTCACTATTCGATGGAGGCGTCGGAGCATTACCGAACGATTTGCCGAATCGCTCGTGGCGAATCAAGTCGCTCTCCCCACGTGCCGCTGCTCCTCGGGGGCCGGAGGATGACGTGGACGATCGTCAGCTGTCTCCTGTTGGGTCACCGCGTGGCTCCACAGGCCACGACGAGGCGGCGGCGGTGGGGGTGGGGGGGGTCGCGTTTGCAGAGGCGGCGTTGGCCGCCTCGCGGTCGTTCTCTGAACCCGAAGCCAATCCCCCCCCCTCCTCCCCCACTTGCAGGCCGAGGCGACGGCGCGTTAAAAGGATGCCTCTCTGGTGCTGGCTCTCAGCGGCACGGCAGCATGGGCAGTGGAACAAATAAGCCAGCCCGTAACCGCGATGGCCCTGCGCTGGCTCAGCTGAGATGTGCCAGTGTAAAAGGACTAAAACATTCTTACTCACCCACCTACCCACCTACCCACCCTCCCCTTGTCCCCCCCCCACGTCCCACCGCGCAGGCCGTGATGAGGGTGATCGCCAGGGAGCGCCCCCCGTTCCGCTACCAGACGAATCCGCTCTACACGCCGCTCACGGCGCTCCGGCACGCCGACGACACGGGGCAGCTATCGGTACAGACGTTCTACCGCCTGCTCTTCCACCACGGCGCCGTCTTCCGCGCGTCGCTCGCCGCGCTGCGCTGCCTCACCTGCAGCTGCTGCCGCGCCGCTCACTCGGACGCGTGACAGCTCACCTGGCGGAGGGGGGGGGCGGGGAACGTGGGGGGGGGGGGGTAGAGTGGAGTGACCGGCGCGGTGAGGTATGGTTAAATAAAGCCCCCCCCCCCCACACACACAGAAATGGGGAGGCTAACTTAAGATTTTGTAACTCTGTGTGTACGTATGTATGTTGAACTTCTTTCGCACCGTACGTAGCCGACCGCGCTATAGGCGAGCGGTTGACCCAATACCACACGCAGTCTTTGCGATCCCGCCGATGTGTCCGACTTGAGGAGTTCACCGATCGTCTCCGAGTGCAGGCGAGGTCGTCACTTGCGCGTGCCCGAGGAGTGGTGCGCGTGCCCGATGAGTGGTGCGCGTGCACGTGTGACCCACGTGACGTAGAGGCGGAGCTATGGCACAGCGGTCGTGAACCCGTGAACAGGATTTTAATTCCCGCTCACGGCCAACACCAAATCTAACCCCCAAAAAAACATCCTAACCCAAAAACCTCTATGATTATACCTACTATGATCACCCAGGAATATCCTTAACGCTGGTGACGTAACTGAACGTTGACCAGCTCCCCTCATTAATAATCATGAACAGGTGACGTCCTCCAAATGGACCCCCCCCCCCATTCATAATAATTAGCGGCTGACGTCACTCCACATGGGGGGGCGAGACGCCTCCTCCCCCCTCCTCGGCGTCAACTCACAACCCTCACTACAAAGGCAGAACCCTCACGTCACGTGATCTCCGTAACGCTGTTGAGACATCAAAGTAAAAAGGACGTCATGATGAACAAGGGATTATAACCTGTAAATTAAATAATTCTGTGTCACCGCGCCCTTACAAAGTGCACACGCATTGATGCAATGGATATCACGTCGCGGTCTGCTTTTCGCTTGCAAGTTTCAGATTTACTGCAATACACCCGTCCTTGGACGGGCTAAATGCTAGTGGATAATATTGGTCGCGAAAGCCAACACGTTGAAGTGGTCAACACCATCGTGAGAGGTGGCGGCAGACTGCAAAGGATTTCATCCAGAAGTGGATTGACCATGACTAACGATGCAAGCCATCCACTCGCTCAGGCAGCCTAAGGCAATACAGTACTGTGTATAAGGTACTGTACTTCAATTGCTTAGTGTCCTTGACTTGACCAGGTGAGAAACGTGTCGAATAAATGCAATCCTGTTGTACAATTACTTACCGGGAAATCAAATTAAAGTGCTTTGTGACACGAGCGTCTGTCCGGTTCACTAAAGTTCCCATGTGGGCACGTGCGTGTGATGAGACCCAAGTGTTGATGGCAAATAGAAGTTTAAATAAAACCGAAGCACATTTGTGAGAGTCGTGGGGCCTTTTTGCTAGTATCAAAGTATACAAAATAAGAACAGCTTTAACCCTCTCTGGCAACATTGCAACACCTAATAATAGGGTTTTCCCCTTTTTTTTGGCAACAAAACTGAAACCTTTTTTTACAAGGATTCATGTCTGCATCAACCACAAAACGGATTGGTCTAATGATGTAGATGCTCACCCCGAGCCCTCATTACTTTGATAGTGCATTGTCTTTGAGCTGTACACCTTTTGGCGTCCTCTGGTCGAACACCAATTGGGTCGAGGCTCAAAAGAAAGCTGTCCCTTGGTGTAGACCAATCAGTTTCAAGGACAATGCATATATTATCATAGTATGTTTTTTGTTTGCATTTTGACTGCAGGTATTGTGGTTAATGCAGACATGAAGCCTTGTAAAAAAGGTTTCAGTTTTGTTGCCAGAAAAAAGGGGAAAACCCTTTTATTACATTTTGGTACTGGCAAAGGAGGTCTAATTATTGTAACACCTGTTTGATTGGCAGAAAGGGTCAAACCTATTCTTATGTTTCATACTTTGATATTGGGTGAAAGGTCCCGTAATATAGCTGCTCAACCTCGAGCTATACAACTTCCGATACGTGAATTGTCTTTTTGGTGTTCTCTGGTCTGACACTTAGAGAAGGCCGTCTCTGGTGTAGGCCAACCAGTTTAAAAAACAATGTCAAGGCGCTCTGCTCCTCCCACCCAGCTTAAAATACGCTGCCAAACTTAGCAGTGTTCATTGGAGCGCTGTCTTTCCGACAGCTCTGTTTCTTCACCTGAGGAAGGCTACTTGTGTTGTGGCCGAAACGTCGTGATAATTTTATTTTATTATATTGCATTCTTATTGTTTTATTGTTTCCCTTCTACGTGACTTTACCGAAAGAACAAAGAAGATGAATCTCTGCAGTCACGAAAGCTTTAAATCGAAATTTAATGCGTATATTATCACGGCATGTTTACATTTTGATTTAAAGCTTTCGTGACTGCAGGGATTCATATTCTTTGTTCTTTCGGTAAAGTCACCACGTAGAAGGGAAACAATGAAATAATAAAAATATAAAACAATACAATTCTCACGACGTTTCGACTGCAACACGAGCAATCATCATCAGGTGTGAAAACCACAACAAGAAAAATTTGAAAAAAGTGGCGTTTATTTTTACCGAAAGAACCAAGAACGCGGCATTGTTTGTTTGCATGTTCACCACGGATCACGTGTGGTTAATGCAGACTTGATTCCTGGCAAAAGGTTTCTATTTTGTGTGTGAACATCTTAACAGAGCTCCTATTTTATTGCCATAAAGGGTAAACGACCTTTTATTATTTTATTATCATTCTTCACCTTTTTGGGAGGCTCAACCTTCCGCCATCCCCCCGCCCACATTCGCAAGACCACGCCCACTCTGCGAACTAGCCCCCGCCCACGTGCCGAGTGGTCGCGCCCACACGGTGAGTGGCTCCGCCCATACGGCGAGTAGCCCCGCCCACACGGCGAGTGGCCCCGCCCACCACACCAGGCCACTCGGTGACTGTCGTGACTGAGGCCGTGGGGCTACATTTCATTGACGACACTCGAACATCCGGGTTAGTGCGGTTGAGTGGATTGCGGTGGCGGATAATAAATATTTCTGTGGGCTGTTCCCAGACGGCGGGCTTCATGAGGCCACGGGCTCCGCGTGAAGTGGAGTTGTTATGATGATCGTGGTGGTGGTGGTGGTGTGGTTTCTGTATTATTCACAATGAGGAGGATGATGGTGGTGATGATGATGATAGTCAATCACGTATGTACTTTACAATTATGGTTTTATTTCATGATAATTATGTTGATGATGGAATTTAGCAGTGATGGTGGTGGTCCTAATCAATGGGAATTATTCCAACAGAAATTAGCAGTGAGTATGATGAAAAAACTAAAATGATCAGTTTTAGCTAAGGATGATGGCGATAACGATGATGATGGAAGTCAACATTATTGAGGATGATTATTGAAAGTCATACACGATGATGATGATGCTAATAGCGACTGAAGTCAGAGGTGATTATGGGAGGTTATCATTGATTATGCTGTTATGAAGTTATGTAAATGACTACGGTGATTCTAGATTTAAAGCTTTCGTGACTGCAAGGATCCATACTCTTTGGTTCTATTGGGTAAAGTCACGTAGGTAAAAAATAAAATAACAAAAATCACGACGTTTCGACCACAACACAAGCGGCCTTCATCAGGTGAAGGGACCAACCTGTCCGGAGGACAGCGTTGGAGTGAAAAAAGTCAAGCGCAGGTCGCCTCCTTTAAGCTGTGAGTGGGTAAACAGACAAGACGCCTTGACAAAGGAATTAGCATAAAAACGTAAAGCTGTGCAAGCTCGCAAATAGCATCAAAAATACATTAACACCACCGTGAGAGTTTGGGATGCCACTAATTGAATGAATATGCTGTACCATTAAAAATTCCTTTAACGTTTGGTTCGATTTAGAACATCTTTCCAATGGTTGCTTAATTTGAAGCCATCTTCTTGGTTGAAATTGTGTCTGTGTTTGTAGATCTGGATTGCCTCGTGAACAAATCTCTGATAAAAACCCGTGGGTTTGCAAAGAACCTTGGTATCGGAGAAAATTATATCGTGATCACCAACAGCGTTGTAACAATGATCAGCTACGGCAGAAGAATTCGTTTTGCCGTGTTTCAAATCTGATTTGTGCTCGCGAATTCGGTCAGAGACATGTCGCTTTGTCTCCCCGATATAGCAATCACCACAGGTACAACTCAATTTGTAAACCCCGGGGTACTGTTAGTCAGGAATGACATCCTTCACGGATGGGATCAGATCACGAATTTTGTGTACTGTATTGAACCGGACCTGGATCTTGTGTTTGTTTAGATTTTTGGAAATCTTTTTAATAACGCCTGCTATATATGGTAGTGTGATGGTTTTGACCGGAGTATCAAGTGGTTGTTTCTGTATGGAGGGAGAAACAGCTTGGCGGATGGTACGGTCAGAGTATCCATTCCTTTTGAGGGCCAGGTGTACATGTTTTAATTCACTGGTCAGGTGGTGTTGGTCCGAAATGCAATGAGCCCTATGGTATAAAGTTTTGATGAGAGAATTATTTTGGGCTGGGTGGTGGTGGGATTCAGGTTTCAAGTAGGAATCTGTGTGGGTGGGTTTCCTGTAGACAGAATGCCCCAATGAGCCATCAGGTCTCCTCTCAAACAGAACATCTAAGAATGGTAGCTTGCCATATTTCTCCACTTCCATGGTGAATTTGATGGCGGGATGTCTGGAATTGATGTGGTGTAGGAAAAGGATCAGAGCTGGGAGGCCATGTGGCCAAATGACGAAAGTGTCATCCTACACCACATCAATTCCAGATATCCCGCCATCAAATTCACCATGGAAGTGGAGAAATATGGCAAGCTACCATTCTTAGATGTTCTGTTTGAGAGGAGACCTGATGGCTCATTGGGGCATTCTGTCTACAGGAAACCCACCCACACAAATTCCTACTTGAAACCTGATTCCCACCACCACCCAGCCCAAAATAATTTTCTCATCAAAACTTTATACCATAGGGCTCATTGCATTTCGGACCAACACCACCTGACCAGTGAATTAAAACATGTACACCTGGCCCTCAAAAGGAATGGATACTCTGACCGTACCATCCGCCAAGCTGTTTCTCCCTCCATACAGAAACAACCACTTGATACTCCGGTCAAAACCATCACACTACCATATATAGCAGGCGTTATTAAAAAGATTTCCAAAATTCTAAACAAACACAAGATCCAGGTCTGGTTCAATACAGTACACAAAATTCGTGATCTGATCCCATCCGTGAAGGATGTCATTCCTGACTTACAGTACCTCGGGGTTTACAAATTGAGTTGTACCTGCGGTGATTGCTATATCGGGGAGACAAAGCGACATGTCTCTGACCGAATTCGCGAGCACAAATCAGATTTGAAACACGGCAAAACGAATTCTTCTGCCGTAGCTGATCATTGTTACAACGCTGTGGGTGATCACGATATAATTTTCTCCGATACCAAGGTTCTTTGCAAACCCACGGGTTTTTATCAGAGATTTGTTCACGAGGCAATCCAGATCTACAAACACAGACACAATTTCAACCGAGAAGATGGCTTCAAATAAAGCAACCATTGGATAGATGTTCTAAATCGAACCAAACGTTAAAGGAATTTTTAATGGTACAGTATATTCATTCAATTAGTGGCATCCCAAACTCTCACGGTGGTGCTAATGTATTTTTGATTCTATTTGCGAGCTTGCACAGCTTTACATTTTTATGCTA